ACTTCAATATTCAATAGATCTAACAACGACCAGGGAGGCTGGGCTCCCTGCTTCCCCCATGACTACACCCATTGCTGCTTATCACTGGATGCTTTCTGCTCTAATGATTTATGGAGATTTCCTTTCTGTAGTGTGTGATCTTGTTGATACCAACTTGTTGATAGTTTACCAATCATTAAATAGGTTTCCACTACTTATAAAAATTTTTCCTGTTCACCCCAACTACATATTTTTCTGTATTGAACTTGGAACTCCTGACTTGAACATGTCCCTGTATACTTGATTTCTGGTGAGTTAGTTGGAGATATTGAAGTATTAGGTGACCAAATCACTAGGCTAAATTGCTAAGGGTAGAGTTTGTCGAGATAGGGGTTATCGTCTCCACACTTTTGTAATTTTGCATTTGGTCCCAATTATCTGTATATTTATTAACTTTTTTTTTTTTTTTTAGAAAGATAGCATTTTTTTAAAGATTTATTTTTTATTTATGCATACAAGAACTGGGGTGTAAGCTCCCTGGCCAGGGATTGAACCCATGTCGCTGTGGCTGGTGATAGCTTTGTAGTGCCGAGACTTAACCCCTTGCACCAACGGGGGGGCCCAGAAGATAGCATTTTAAAAAAAATTATTTTTGCATATAGGAATTGGGGTGTAGGTCAGAGGTACAGGAGGATTCACCAGAGACAGTGGGGTGCAGTACAGGCGGATTTACAGAAATATACCAAGGAGAGCAGTGGGCAAGACAGGAGAGGTCTGCTGTGCAATGTGGGTTAGCTCCTTGGCCTGGGATGAAACTCAGGCTGTAGGGGTGATAGTGCTGAGTCTTAACCCCTCGACTGCCAGGGAGGCCCTGATTTTATTAACTCTTACATTAACTCTTAAATTTCTTGTTAGGTTTATCTTTGATAAATTTTTGTATGACACTGGGCACAGAATAGTACCTTACTTACAGAAAATGCTCAATAATTATTCTCTGACTAATAATAATTTCAGGATATTTGCTGATTTCCTTTACTTAAATACTCTGTCAGCCTCAAGTTTCCCTTTGGAAGAGAAATTGTTCCTTAGATATTTTGTGTAGTTGTGCTAAGGAGATTTTTTTCTTTGGGATTCATTAGGATCCCAGTTGCTGTAACTTTTTCCTTTTTTTTCCTTTTATGTTTTTGTCATGGTATAGATTACAAGTACTAAGATGAACTGAATGTTTATATACATGAGTATAGTTTAAAGACAGGTGTGGACATACATTCTTAAACTGTGCAGGGTCTGAGATTTTACCTTATTTGCAAGCTACGGTGTTAGCCTAACACAGTTTCATGGAGGCTGATGGAAGACAGGAATAATAATGGTCATGGTAGTCTGTCTCTGACTATCATGCTTCTGATAGTAGTCATGATAGCACTATCAAGCTATCACTAGCAACAGCAACATGAGTTGGATCCTTGGCCTGGAGAGGGAGACCTCTCCTGTCTCGCCCGCTGTTCCCCTCAGCAGTGTTTCAGTCTTGGGACTATTTGGTCTGAGGCAGTTTATCACAGCAATCACAGTAACCAGAATATAGCATTGGTGTTAGTCCCAACAAAGCTGGTTGAGGAAATTCCATAAACATAGTGGACAGCCTTATAGGAGAGGAACTTTGAGGTTAGAGAAACTGAATCTTTTATAATGGGCTGTGGGCTTGTCTCTCCTTTGTTTTGTAAGAAACACTGTTTCTGTATTCCAAAGCTGTTCACTATATAAACATCCTTGATAAGGTAATCTAGAGACAGACAGTGACTTTGGTCACAATATATTGAGAAACATGAAAGATCCATGGAGTATTGTCTCCTAGTTAGTTCAAGAATTGGTACATAACCAGTATCTTAGAAGCTCCCATAGACCCCTTTCTAGTTCTGCCTTACTTCCTTGCTTATGTAATCACTCTCTTGAATTCTAATCATTTCAAATTTTATCTCATATATGTCCTCCTAAGTAGTACGGTGTTTTGTATTTACATAAATGAAACCATGTTGTATGTAGTCTTTTTCTTTTTTTCTTTTTTTAAAGATTTATTTTATTTATACAAGCCAGAGGCGTGGGAGGATGAGGCAGAGAGGGGAGCAAAACAGGCAGACGGACTGAGCGGGCGAGAGAGGAGAGGTCTGCTGCACCATGTGGGTAGCTCCCTGGCCGCCTGAGGATCGAACACATGTTGCAGAGGCTGCGAACAGCTTCACAGTACTGCACTCAACCCACTGCACCACTGGGGAGGCCCTTTTTTTGTTTTTTAAGATTTATTTTATTTATGCATACAAGAGCTGGGGTGAAAGCCAGAGGTGCAGCGGGGGAGAGGACTCACCAGAGACAGAGTGGAGAGAAGAACAGGCAGACTGACTGAAATATACTGCTGAGGGGAGCAGTGGGTGAGACGGGAGAGGTCTGCTACCTGCATGGCTGGTGATCGAACTCATGCTGCAGAGGCTGTGGATAGCTTCACAGTGCTGTGCTTAACCCCTTGCGACACCAGGGAGGCCCTGTTGTATGTAGTCTTGCTTTTAGTATTTTGCTTCTCATATTTTTGAAGTTCATCCAGGTAGGTGTCCATGCCTATGAAGGGTCCACTGCAGATATACTGAAACATTTCTCCATTTTATTTGTGATGGACATCACTCGTTACTGTGTTTAGAACTTTATCTAGCATATGTCAGTCGAGAGATTGGTGAGTTTAAGGGGTCAGCATATTTTCATGTTTGATCTTGCAGTACTGTTTTCTAAGAGGTTATAATAGCTCACACACCCGTAAGCAGTACTTGAGCGTTCTCATTGTTCCATATATGAAAAAAAAGTGTTAAGTATGTCATTGTGCAAATAAATTTGCATATCCTTGATTGATGGGATTGAGCATCTTTTCTCATGTTTGTGGGTCAGTCCTCATTTTCTATTGGCTTGTTTGCCTTTTTGAAAATTGCTTCACTGGATTTCTGTAATCTGCAAACAAAACTTGTTGGTTAAGTGTATTTAAGTATATTCTCACAATTTGCAGCTTGTTCCATTAGTGGGCTTTTTTGGGTGTTGCCTAGGCTACCTGTATATGAGCTCACCCTGATTAGTTTTTCCTACTTCTGTGTTTGTTTATACTGGTAGTTGACCCTGAGCACAGATTTGTCATTTTCAAAGCTTGTGATGGTTTTCATTTTAGCAAAGAATGGCCGCGTGGATTCCGAGGACCGGAGGAGCCGCCACTGCCCGTACCTGGATACCATTAACAGGTCAGTAGGACAGAGATGCCAAAGGCAATGGAAGAACAATAGAATCTATGTAGAAAGTTTTTGGACTGTATGTTGAACATTTTTTATCCTTTTAAAAACTTTATGCCAAGAAAATTATGCTTGCTGTTTTATTAAACTTTGCTCTTTAGAGTTCAGAGAACATGTTCTAGGGAGGGCATAAGCATAGCCTTTAGCTGGTTTTGAACTTGTATGATGAAATAATGGGATACATAGTGTCCTTAAAAATAACGATAGCAAATTTAAATATTTATTGGACACTCACTGTGTGCTAGGTATTACTCTGGGTGCTTGGGATTCAGCCGAGAGAAAAAGAGTAAAAAATTTATTTTAGAACAGAGGTAGTTACCTTGTGCTAGTATTCTTTTCTTTGATCCCACATAGCATCTTAGGATGATTTTCACCTGTCCTCTAGGGTAGCTTTGCAGTTCTTTATATGGGCTGTTCATTGTGGCATAACCACTTGTGGCTATTGGGCACTTGAAATATTGTTTGAAGGGCTGAATTTTACATTTTATTTAATTTTAATTATTTTATTTTATTTTTTTTTAAATAATAAATTTTATTTTTATATTCCCCATACAATTGCAGCCCCCCCCATTCTGACCCCAATCCCTCCCCTCCCGCCCCCACCCCCCTAAAAATGTCTCTGGTTCATAGTTTTTTGTTGATTTTGATTTTCACTTTCTTATAGTTATTCATTTTCCTGGTCCCTTATTTAAGTTAATTATTTTAAATTAAGTGCCACTAGCCATGTATGGGCAGTGATCCCTGCATTAGCCAGTCCAGTGTGTAAAATACTATATACGACAATAAATTTAAAATGGATTTAAGATTTGGATACAAGACCCACAACAATAAAATACATAGAAGAAAACATTTGCAATCTGTCTTATGACGTCAGTGAATGATAGAGATATCTTTGGAGATTTGACCCCTACCGTGAGGGAAATAAAAGCAAAAACAAACAATTGGGACTACCTCAAAAAGCTCTTTTAGAGAGTGAAAGAAAATATTAGCACATTAAAGAGACATCCTATATTGAATGAGAGAAGATAGTCACATAAAGGGTTTATATCCAAGGGTTACAAAGAACTCATCCAACTTAATTAAAAAAAACCCAAGTAACCCAGTTTAAAAATGGCAGCAGATCTGAGGATGATTTTCCAAAGAGGAAATCCAGAAGACTAAGAAGTAATGTGAAAAAAGTACTCATCATCACTTCCTGATGGGAAATGCAAATCAGAGCCAATCAAAACTTCCCAGATTTGTTGGAGAGGATGTAGAGAAAGAAATCCTAATAAATGTTGGTGGGAATATAAATTGGTGCAGCTATTTTGAAAAGTAATCTGCACTTAAACTAAAAGTGGTTGTATCATATAATCCAGCAATCCCACTTTTGGGTATCTAGCCTAAGAACACAAAGTCATTAGTTCAAAAAACAATATGCTCCACAAGTTTATTGATGCATTATTTATAATAGCTAGGAAGTGGAAGCAACCTGAGTGCCCATGGATAGAGAACTGGACAAAGATGTGGTATATTACATAGTGGAATACTATTCAGCTGTAAGGAAAGATGAAAAGTTACCATTTATAGCAAAATGGAAGGAACTCAAGGGATTATGCAAAGCAAAGCAAACTGGAAAAGAAAGACAAATTTTGGCTACTGCACATATGAATCATATAAAGAAACAGAGCTATGAACTGAGAAAATAACATAATTGTACACTTAGCAGATAACTGAACTGAGGTTTCTGAGTTCAGGAGGGAGAGGGGAGGGAGAAAGGTCAAGGGAATATAAGCAGGGATGGTGGTGTGGGGTGTGGGGGAGGGGAACTAGGTCAGGAAGTGGCACAAAAATAGAAGTGCCAGAATATTTGGTTTGAGATATGGCTGTTTATTCTTACAGATACTGAATTTAAACATATAGGGTACCATACCACATCAAATATAAATATATTTTTAAGTATTTTAAGTTGTTAGTTATATATATGTATTTCTCCCATATTTGAATTAATATTCTTTAAATCTCACATTTTTTATGTGAGGAGTGAAAGAGAAGTGTGTCTAGAGAGTTTAGTTTATACACTGAAGTAAAAAGAAATTTCATTTGTACTACACAATAATATTTTGTGTATATATATATATATATATATATATATATATATATATATGCCTGTGTAAGTTTATGGATTCTTCTGTGCTAGTAATATTTACTTATGCTAGTAATTTTTACATATACTAAAAACAGATTCTGCTTTTTGAGACTGTTACCTATTAATTAGAGTTAACGTTTGGGAAGTAATTCCTTTACCACCTGTGGATTCAGTGGGGTAGTTTTTTTGATCCTTACCTCTGCCAGTACTTATATGTCAGTATGATATACTCGAACAGGTACATCTGTTTGTAGTTATTACTGTAAACTTCTTTAGGCTTCCCATTTATTCCTATGGGCAAAAATAAAATTTTCTTTAATAAGAGGGTTTATTCACTCTTTTTATGTGTCTTCTTTTCAAATTTGGAGTATTGTTGGGGCCCTAATATGTTAGTCCTACTGGTAACTTTCCCTTCAGAGAAAGTGATTGTTATGGGATATTCTTCATTGGTTGTAAATATTAAAAAGAAACATGGTCATTGGCTTTGCATGTCTGACACAAACACCTTGAAATGCTTTGAGGCTTAGAGAATTGATAGTGCTATTTTTTTTTTATAAACCTTGTTTATATGAATTGACCAGTAAACGAGTAAGCTTTATACCTGTCTTTTTTTAAATTTTAACATTTATCATTTTTTAAAATTTTTTAGACAATATTTGCTTCCCTCCACCCCCTCAGATTGAGTCCCCATAGAATTTCCTTCCCCAAGGCACCCGTTCACCATCACCACAGTCCCCTGTGCTCCTCCCTCCCTCTCACCCCAAAAATAGATGACTGGATCAAGAAGATGTATATATACGCAATGGAATATTAGATTCAGCAATCAAAAAAGATAAACTCATGCCATTCACAGCAACGTGGATGGAGCTAGAGGGAATTATGCTCAGTGAAATAAGCCAGAAGGAAAAAAGAAATCAGATGATTTCACTTATAACAGGAATATAGGGGAACCAAATAAGACATCAGTGTAAAAAAAAATAATAACAACAGTACAAAACACAACAAAGCAAAAACAGACAATTATAAACCAGAGACATACTGCAGGGGAGGAGGCGGAGGGAGAGGGAGGGAGGGAGGAGCACAGGGGATAGTGCTATATTAAATGTCTAGGTGAGGATTAGTCACTGTTCCCTATGGTTTATATGGTTGTTGAAACATTCAGTGAAGGATGGCATGAAGAACATGAAGCCAATGCTGCTTTACTCTGGTGTTCTAGAAATTGTCCTTATTGTTTTTTCTTTTGCTTTGCTTCTCTTAGGAGTGTGCTGGACTTTGACTTTGAGAAACTGTGTTCCATCTCCCTCTCCCATATAAATGCATATGCCTGTTTGGTGTGTGGCAAGTACTTTCAGGGTAAGTAAATATTAAACATTACAAATTTTCTAAGTTGTCAGCACTAACCACAGGCCACCTCCTGAGATTTTTTTTTTTAAAGATTGATTTATTTATATAAGAACTGGGGTACAGGTCAGAGCTGCGGGAGGGTGAGAGAATTCATCAGAGACAGAGCGGGGAGCAGAACAGGCAGACGGACCGAAGGCACTGCTGAGGGGAGCGGCAGGCGAGGCAGGAGAGGTCTGCCACACCATGTGGGTTTCTTCTGGCTGGCTGGGAATCGAACCCACGCTGCAGAGGCTGTGGACAGTTTACAGTGTGGTGCTCAACCCGCTGCGCCACCGGGGAGGCCCCTGAGTTTTTTTTTTTTAAAGAAAATAAAGTCCTGTCAGGAGGCATGTCTAATAATTCCTATCATTGTTTCCAGGAAATGGGAATGCTCTTAAAAAAACAGTAGGCAGTTCTCTAATTGGCCAGGACCTGAATACATAAGAAAGGGAGAAAGAATTAGTTGTCTGAAAGGTTTTTTAGGAGATCTCTTGACTCTTGAATTTTTGAATGCCTGTTGTTTCTATACTTATCTGTCCTCTTAATGTTTTCTTTGTCTTTTTCTGAAAATTCTTTTGCTATGAAGACTTTAATTCTGTTCTTTTCTGGAAATTTATTATTTGACTTCATTTAAACCAGCAAATTCTTAGTATAGTGGAGGTTTCAGAAAAATATAAGCTACGTTCCTTGATTTTATAGGGAACTTACAAAGTTAACACAAAATAATCAGCAAACTAAGATTATAAAGGTTACTGCTAGACTCTGGTATTGAATATAAATAAGAATAATAGGGGGTAAAATACTCAAAGATCAGTGTTAGTTGTAGTGTTTGCATTGAGTTTATGGGAGGCTCTCTGGTGAAACAGAATTTTAGTGGGTTAAGGGAGAGACATTCCAGAAAGAAGTGGCAACATGAACAAAGATATGTAGGCTCAAGATAGGTGTAAATGTGGGCAGTTGGAAAATCAGGATTGAGTGATGCTAGACTGTCACAGGATTTGTATGTGTATATGTACTATTATATATGTAGATATTCCTAATTTCTGTTATATATAAAACTTAACTCATATATGTATATGTGTATGTGTTTAAATACACATACTCCATATGGTTAAGGTTCACATTCAGGTTTATGAAATAAGTTTTCCTGACCTACGTCTTATGCCATCTAGAAAATAAAGTAACCGATGCACTATTCTTTCTTGCTAACTTTTGTGATGAAAGTTCTTGTGGGAGATTCGTATCATGGATGGCATCGTACTTTGCTTTTGCCGATGTTAACATTCCAGTACAAAATAGTGAAAGGAAAATCAAACCTGATTTGTGCCTTTCTGGAATCTGTCTTCTCTTACAGCTTTTTATCCTTCCCTACAGGCCGGGGTTTGAAGTCTCATGCCTACATTCACAGCGTCCAGTTCAGCCACCATGTCTTCCTCAACCTCCACACCCTCAAGTTTTACTGCCTTCCTGACAACTATGAGATCATTGATTCCTCGCTGGAGGATATCACGGTGTGTGTCCAAGATGACTGATTTGACACTGGTTTTCTTCAGAGTTCTTTCGGTCTCCCTAATATCTCTACCAATGAGTCAGGGAAGAATCTTAGTCTGTTGGGTGTGGAGAGGAGGAACCAGGGAAACTGAGTAAGGAGGTCAGGTTCCATAATTGTGGTCTGTGGTCTGTAAGCTAGCTGTCATTTCTGCTTATTTATTTATTTATTTTTTTATTTATGCATATAAGAACTGGGGTGTTGGCCAGTGGTGCAGGGGGTGAGAATATTCACCAGAGACATAATGGGGAGCAGAACAGGCAGATCTATGAAATACACTGCTGAGGGGAGCAGCAGGGGGCAAGACAGGAGAGGTCTGCTTTGCCACGTGGTTAGCTCCCTGGCCGGCCAGGGATCGAACTTGTGCTGCAGAGGCTGCGGATAGCTTCACAGTTATGTGCTTAACCCCTTGCACCACCAGGGAGGCCCCCAATCTTTTTATTTTTTCATTTTTAATTTTTTTTAAAGATTTATTAATTTATTTATACAAGCACTGGGTACAGTCAGAGGCGCGGGAGGGTGAGAGAATTCACCAGAGCCAGAGCGGGGAGCAGAACAGGCAGCAGGACCGAAGTACACTGCTGAGGGGTGCAGCGGGCGGCAGGGGAGGTCTGCGCACCATGTGGGACCCTCGCCTGGCGGCCAGGGATCAAACCGGCACTGCAGAGGCTGCGGGCAGCTTCACACTCCAGCGCTCAACCGCTGCGCCACCGGGGAGGTCCCAATCTTTTTATTTTTAAGGAAGGCTTGGTGTTCAGAATATTTGAAGCGCTGTTTATGCTACTTTTGTAAGTTGTATAGGCCTACTAATATTTGAAGTTAAAGTGGTTATGGACAGTATTAAAGAGGGAGAAATTGAAATTCAGGGCTTTAAAGCTTTTTAGTGGCAGCCTTTGTCTAGCCTGTGATTTGATAACCCTCAGCTCTAGAAATGATCTGCCTTCTAATCTTATGTGATTGCAGTCTTGCAGAAAGGTAAGGAGGCACTTCTGTACCTGCCCTTGGGCCAGGTGCTGGCCCTGTGTACCATTTCTCAGTCTGTGTACCAAGACTCAGATTCCTGCTGCCTTCGGAGTCTCTCTTGCAGCTTTGATGGTTTATCATGGACTTGGCCCAACCTGAAGTTTGAGAAAAGACTCAGGATTCAGTGATTTTGTTTTAAACAGATTTCCTTCTGGATTAGCCATATGGAAAGGACCTATCCTATGTTACCCTGCTCTTTATTGTTGGGAGTTCTTTTGGGTGCGTAGTGAAGTGTTCATGATCAAAGTGTTTTATGTTTTGGCAGAAATTACTATTCCAGATTTATCTTATGAATTCTGGGTATGCCTAAAGCAACTTAGAATTTTCCTTTGCTTTGCAGTATGTGTTGAAGCCCACTTTCACAAAGCAGCAGATTGCAAACTTGGACAAGCAAGCCAAATTGTCCAGGGCATATGATGGCACCACTTACCTGCCTGGTATTGTGGGCCTGAATAACATAAAGGCCAATGACTACGCCAATGCTGTCCTTCAGGTAGGATAAGATGGGAACAGTGGGGCAGGGGTGGTAACCTGGGAACACTGTGAAGGTCAGCTAAGAAATCATTACCTTTTGGTAAAATGCAGTGAAGTGATTCCCAGATACCCCATCTGACCAAGGATTCTACTTCAATGTTCGTTCCCCACCAAGCTGAACATTCCTGTATTTGTTCAAGGGGCTGCTGCCAAATGATGAAGCCTTTTCCAGCCACTGCACTAATAACTTCTTGAGTTCCAGGGGATGTCACATAGAATCTGCTTATGATCTGACATTACCAAATAAGAGACACATATCTAGATGATGCTTTATTTTTTTAGTGGTGCAGATATATCTGCTGGCATTCCATTGTCTAGATTCTGCTCCTGTGCTTGAATCCTGAGTTAGGAAAGGTGGAAAGCCAAAGTCATCCTATTTGTAACTTGCACTGTTTTCTTTTTTAAAAAATTACTTGAGTAATATGTGCACATTATAGAAAAATTGGAAAATGTTGATAAGCATAAGCAAGAAAATTACACAGTTATTCTGCATAAAAAAATTGATTTTAGAAAATAATAAGCATAAATACTAGGGGGATGAGATGTTGAAAGTAAAGAGTAAAAACTTCCCTTTTTTCCTAGTACTTTGTCCTGAGAGGTAGTTAACATCATATAGACCTCCAGACCTTTTCTAAACACATACACACAAACACCTTCTGCCTTGTGACAATATAATGAGTTATTTTGCTATTCCCAAATTGATAGATCAAATTTAACTTCTCTTTTTTTTTACCCCTCTTACCAGTGTTGGCTGAGTATCCTACATACAACCTTGTATTTTCTGTGACTCTGACACCTTTTATTATGCATAAAATACACAAATATATACATTACATGCATGATATCTATATATACATATGTATAGCATGACTTTTAAAGTATATAATTGTATTTTTGTCTACAAAGTAATAGTATATATGTGTATATATTTTTACTTAAAGTTATACAATGAAATCAATAAATTTTTTTTTTAAAGATTTATTTATTTATTTATACAAACACTGGGTACAGTCAGAAGCACGGGAGGGTGAGAGAATTCACCAGAGCCAGATCAGGGAGCAGAGCAGGCAGAAGGACCGAAGTACACTGCTGAGGGGAGCAGTGGGCGGCAGGAGAGGTCTGCACGCCATGTGGGACCCTCCCCCAGTGGCCGGGGAGCAGCCGGGGATTGAACCAGCGCCCCTGCGCTGCAGAGGCTGCGGGCAACTTTGCAACCCAGCGCTCAACCACTGCGCCACCGGGGAGGCCCTCAATAAATATTCTTAAGCAGCATCTTAATGATTATGTATTAATCCATTCTGCCGACGAATTATAAATTATTCTTATATTAATGCATCTGGAGCCTAGGTTCTAGGCTGTAGAGTGTTTATAGCAACTTACAAACTCACCGGTTATACAAGTGTTCCTCATCTTGCATTATCACTGAAAAAAAATTTTCCTGTTTGATAGGTATTCTGTTTTAACTTTTTAAAATTCACTTCTAAAGTTGACTATATTTCTTCATGTATGGTTGGGTCTTTTGTCATTTTTCTATTGGTGGTTAATTTTACTGAGCTTTAAGAAATAAGTATTAACCTTTTTTGTTGTATATGTTAGAGATAATTCCTCCTTCTAATTTGGTCTTTAATGTATTTTTAAATAAGGAATTGGGGAAAACAGTTGTAAAAGTATATCTGTTAGTTTTGGTGTCCGACCTAGTCCCTGGAAGGGTCAAATTCTTAATTCTTAGGTTGACAGAGATGTGGCCAACTGTTCCTTGTGCAGCATCTTATAACTGTTTTTTTTTTTTTAAAGATTCATTTATACAAGAACTGGGGTACAGGCCAAATCCACGGGAGGGTGAAAGGATTCACCTGAGACAGAGTGGGGAACAGAACAGGCAGATTGACTTAAATACACTGCTGAGGGGAGCAGTTGGGTGGGACAGGAGAGGTCTGCCGCACCATGTGGGACCCTTGCCGCCTGGCTGGGATCAAACAGGTGCTGCAGAGGCTACGGACAGATCCACAGCACGGCGCTCAACCGCCTGCACCACCAGGGGAGGCCCATCTTATGACTTTATTAAGATTGTTACAGATGGGACAGATAACATTTGAATCTGGTCAGGGCAGTTAATCTTAGTCTTATTGATGGGTTTTAGTTTTATACGAAGTTTGTTATAAAAACAAGCAAATGAGCAAACCCTCTGTGATGATGCTTCCACTAAAAAGGATTGAATGTTCCATCTGGAAACTGGATTACTTCTCTCTAAGGACACCTACTGTTGTGATGTTGGTGAAGCCAGAGAGCAGCCTCTCTCTACAGCCTGGATAACTAAAAAGTAGGATAAACTGTCCATATTTTTTTCCTTTTGAGAATAACTTTTTTTAAGGCAGTTATTTTCTAAGAAGCAATTGTTTCTTTAGCTGAAATAAGCTTGTAGGGGCTTTCCTAATCAGTGCAATGGTTCCGAGTTGCCTTCCCCAGAGATGCCTGGGTTCATTGTATTTCATAAACACTTTTATCCTCCTTTTTAATGGATAGCCTTGCAAAAGAAAGTTGTGCTCGAAGCACAAAGCTGGTAAGGATTCGGGAATTGGTTAGGAAGGACTTCTGGGGTGATTGGGCATTTATCTATGATCTGTTCTGTAGTTCCCCTCCCAATTTTATAGTCCAGAATGAGGAACACGTATTCTATCCTGAACTTACACGACTAGTTTTTGTCTTTTTGCTGATCGAGGTAAAAATTTATTTATTTATTTTTGTTTCTAAACTTTTGTCCATTTTCCATCTTAACAGTACATTCATTTTTATATACAGAAGTGTTTTTTTTTTTTTTTTTTTTTTTTTTTTTTTTTGCTATAGCTCCATACCACACTTGAGGAAAACACAACTTTTATTAAGATGATTTTCATATTATTTTAATATGCTGTTGATAGATGGGGGAACTGGGGTCTGTAGAAACTATCTGTCCCAGTCAGATAGACTGATTGTCCCAGTCAAATAGACAATGAAGAAAGAATATTAGGTTTCTAGCCTTTAATTCTTTTTGAATCCAAATCTAGTCATAATCCTAAATAGAGCCAACAAAGGAAATTGTTAAATAAATTGCTCAGTGGATAGGGATTTGCATGCCTTTTTACAAACTCCTTTGCCATGTCCACATCAGCAAAGTGTCTGCAGAACTGGTCTGTGTGTGAAACCCAATATGAAGGATGTTTCTGTACTGTGACCTGGGTGGGGTTCACTAAGAGTGTTTATTTCTGACTCTTACACGCCAACACAGCCCACAGTTCTGAAAGAACCTCAGTTGGAAGAGCTTGGTTCCCAGAGGTCCTGCAAAGGAGCTTTGGATTAATCCACTGTTTGACTTCCAGGCTCTGTCTAATGTTCCTCCTCTCCGGAACTACTTCCTGGAAGAGGACAATTACAAGAACATCAAGCGTCCACCAGGGGATATCATGTTCTTGCTGGTACAGCGTTTTGGAGAACTTATGAGAAAGCTCTGGAACCCTCGGAATTTCAAGGCACATGTTTCTCCCCATGAGATGCTTCAGGCTGTTGTTCTTTGCAGCAAGAAGACTTTCCAGATTACCAAGCAAGGTAAGGAACAAGGATTGATGTTTTTTGACTTCAGGGCAACAAAACTAGTTTAATGAACAAATTTTTTTTCTTTTGCAATGAGTCGTATAGTAGTAAGAATGAGTGTCTGATGGATAGCTTAGGTTCCCCACTCTTCTTTCAGAATGAAGTCCCTAGAGATATCAGATGAATAAAAAAGTCCATCTTATTTATTGAACTAAACTGTATGGCTTAGGGCAAAGCCAGGAGGTTGGGAAAGGCACCAGCCTTTATTAAGTACCTGCCACCTTTGCTTCTCATTTTGTCAGGTCACAGACTGGATTATTTCCAGTAAACTATTGTTGAATGTTTCTATTCCTCCACACCCAATTAGTTTTCCATGTGAATAAAGCAGACATTCCTAGAACCTGTATCTCAGCCAGTGTCCTCTAGCACCCACTGCCAGTTTGTTCAGCATCATTTACATGCTAGGTTTAGAGCTGCAGCGATACATACTTTTTCTAGTGTGTATGTAGGGAAGATAGTCCTTTTAAAAGGTTATTTATTTATTTATTTATTTATTTATTTATTTGTGGGACCCCTCGCCGGGGCCGGGGAACAAACCGGCACTGCAGAGGCTGCGGGCAGCCTCGCAGCCCAGCGCTCAAACGCTGTGCCACCAGGGGAGGCCCTAAAAAGGTTATTGCAGGGTTTCAAGTTCTGTAATAGAGGAAAAAAATTTTTTTATGGGAGGGACATGGAGTAAGGACCCCCAGACGAGAATGTGGAAGGTGGGCTGGGGTCAGATTAGAGGACGAGATGCCTGAGTGTTTTAGGTAGAGGAGGAGGCAGGCCAGGTGCGGGCATTCCAGCTAGAGAGGACACTGTGGACAGAAGCATGCAGGTGCCTGGCACAGACAGAAAACTGCAGGTAACTGAATCCTAGGATTCTAGAGGACAGTGATGAGAGGAAAGGTGAAGGTTGGGAAGGTGGGACCAGGTTGTTGGGCATATATGCCATTATAAAGAATTTGGATTGTACCCTAGTAGCAATGGGGAGTCAGTGAAAGCTTTTAAGCAAAGATGTGATATCAGATTTATGTTTTAAAAGCATTTGGACTGAGGTATGAATTGGAGGGGAAATTCAGTAATGACTTTTGTTGGGTGATGAGAGACAGGTTTGGAGTAGAGATGACTCATAGGGCCTGGTTGGATTAGAGAGAGTCTACAGTAAAGACTGGAAGAGTAAGAGCTTGACCTTGAGGAATGCCAACATTTAATGGTCCAAGGAAGATGCCCAGGAAATGGAACAGGCTCGGAGGGAGGAGCAGTGTGGAGGCATGCCATCCAATGCATGGTTTGGGGTCTCAGAAATCCTCCCAGCCTCAACTTGTCCTACCCTTGTTTTCCAGGGGATGGAGTCGACTTTCTGTCTTGGTTTCTGAATGCTCTGCACTCAGCTCTGGGAGGCACAAAGAAGAAGAAGAAAAGTAAGCACATTATTTTGTAAAAGGAGAGCTCTTTTTAGCTTATTTTTTTAAAAGACAAAAACAAACAAAAGCCCTTCCACATCCCATCTTTGTTCTTAGCTATATATCTTCCTGTGCTACGGTAGTTTCTGTGTACACATAAGCTAAATTTGTTCCTGAATAGGCCTCTCTCCATTTTCCTTTACTAGAAGATGGTTGTATTTTATTTATTTTATTTGTTTATTGTTTTAAATATTTATTTATGCATATAAGAACTGGGGTACAGGGCCTCCCCGGTGGCGCAGCAGTTGAGCACTGGGTTGTGAAGCTGCCTGTAGCCTCTGCAGTGCCGGTTTGATTCCCGGCCGTGGGGGGAGGGTCCCACATGGCGCGCAGACCTCTCCTGCCACCCGCTGCTCCCCTCAGCAGTGTACTTCATCAGTCTGCCTGTTCCTTTCTTCGCACTGGCTCTGGTGAATTCGCTCACCCTCCTACGCTTCCGACTGTACCCAGTGATTGTATAAATAAATAAATAAATCTTTTAAAAAAAAAAACTGGGGTATAGGCCAGAGGTGCCGGGGTTGGAGGGCAGTGAGAGGATTCACCAGAGACAGAGTGGGGAGCAGAAACAGACAGATCTACTGAAATACACTGCTGAGGGGGAAGCGGGCGAGACAGGAGAGGTCTGCTGTGCCATGTGGGTAGCTCCCTGGCCGGCTGAGGATCGAACTTGTGCTGCAGAGGCTGCAGATAGCTTCACAGCACAGTGCTTAACCCCTTGCGCCACCAGGGAGGCCCATGGTTGTATTTTAATTTAATTTATCTTTGCTATGAAGCTTCTTGATGAACTTTATTAAGCTAGGGCCCACTAGGAGGACAGCTGGAACAGGGCCTCTTGCAGGCTGGGTGGGAGGCCACTGTTGTTGCATGTCTTAATATCGGGCTCAAACCCAGCTCCTGAGATGGGCAAAGAAGGCCTTAGCCTGCTGACGCATCTGGTTGGCCTGCTACTCCATCCTGGCCAGCACCTTCTCCATGTGCTTTTTGCACCTTTTCCAGGCAATGGTGGGCCAGGCTTCTGCTAGCTTTTTAAATAAGTGAACATGGATATCCTGACTCAGTTTCAAACCAAGGAGTGGGGCATCATGTACAGACTGCCAATCTCCTGGCTGTGCAAGAAATGGTGTGAGGACTAAGTAGATGGTTTGCCTGACTTGTAAGTTGACAGGTAAAGCACTAAAGGCTAACTCCTCACTCTGAGCCTAAACTTGGAGAAATGGTTTCCATATAGATTCTCAGACTGCATCCTATTTCCCTTGGCATCCAGGTTGGCTTAGCAGTAGACATTTTTCATCAATGCCAAAAAATCTGTTAGCTCAGAAATTGCCCAGCTAGTTGAATCTTTGGAGACCTCATGAGGTTTTCTTGTCATCTTTCTGTGTTGATGATTCTGGTGTTTCTTGATGTGGGGTTGTGGCTGGTGCTTTCTACTTAATGACCTTGCTGCCTCTACCAGGTGTCTTCAGCCTGTGCTGCTTTCTTGAGTTCTCTAATGTGGCTCCTGTCAGGTTTTCAGAACCCTGTTATGCTTTCTGCATCATTGTTTTGGTTCTGTTCTGCTCCATTGCTCCATTCCTGTCATTTATCTTTGTGTCCAATATAGGGTGGACATTGTCTCTCTTTAAGGCAGTATATGGTTATGGGATGTTCTTTGGCTGCTTCTTATTTTGCTTATGAATTTTTTTGTGTGTGATTTATAAATCTCTAGGCTCTGTAAATTATTCATCCTTTTCAAACACACTAAGTTTTTCTTTTAATGGCAGGCTCTGTGTTAGAGGGCCAAAAGGGCAGAATATTTATAGTTATAAGTAGTTATAAAGGTACCTTGACGGATATATGTTATAAAAGCACATTTCTGTGCTTAGTTTGGGTTTTATGCTGGCAGATGCTGGTTTATGTCAGAAATTTAAAAGTTGATAGTATATTTTAGAAATGTTTTCCAACCTGACAATTTGCATATTGATTTGTTTGTACAGCTATTGTGACTGATGTTTTCCAAGGATCCATGAGAATCTTCACTAAAAAGCTTCCCCATCCTGATCTGGTGAGTGAGTTGTTCTTGAGTCTTGGACTGATTTAGGGGATATAGGGTTGTTGTAGAGATCCTTAGAGAATCTATAAGGCCCCTTGTCCAGGAAAGAGGGTCTACAAAAAACATTTGCCAAGCAGCAGTTTATTCCGGTTCCAGTGGCTTATGGGGGCTGTACTTCAGCTGTTAGTGGTTGTATATGTGCTGCTGTGGCCTGGCCACTAGGTGGTGCTGGTGTTTTATTTACTTTTTTTCCATTTAAGTTTCCCAGAGCCGCTCAAACTTTTTTAGATAGTCTGGTTTATATAGTAAATAAAAACTCTGAATATGGCTTCCCATTGGTTCTTGCATTAATCTGACCAGGTGGTGCTACTGTTTACGAAACTGCCCAGTCTTTTGAGCACCCCTTTTCATTCGCTTTAGTATAGAAAATGAAGTAAATTAAATGTACAAAAACATTGTTTTCTTATTGTCTATATTGTTTCTATGCTGTTCATGAATCTCTCCTTTTTCTTCTCACTAATTTTATAGCCAGCAGAAGAAAAGAGCAGCTGCTTCATAATGATGAGTATCAGGAGACAATGGTGGAGTCCACCTTTATGTACCTAACGTTGGACCTTCCTACTGCCCCTCTCTACAAGGATGAGAAGGAACAGCTCATTATCCCCCAGGTGCCGCTCTTCAACATTCTGGCCAAGTTCAATGGCATTACTGAAAAGGTAACTCATTTGCACCCCTGTCCTGCTGATACCCCTCCCTCTCGACTTTTTATTTATTTATATTTTAATTCTGTTTTATTCCTCTGCTGTTGAGAGTTTTATCAAATTTTCTGAGTACTGTCCTTAATACCCCCTCCTTTTTCTCTGTTCCCTACTCTTTGTACTCTAAAGACCAGATAGTTTAAAAGGATATGCAAGAAATAGGAGAGCATGTACTATAATTATAGTTAAGAATTAGGGATTATCAGCTAGAAATAGGGTGTCTTGGAGGCTCATTGAAGACGTTTACTGTAGTACTAAGTGTGTTAGGTGTACTCCGTACATGTGGCAGTTTCCAACTACAAAAAGAAAATGAAAAATGGAAATCACCTCATATAAACAGTGTATTTATTGTATGGTGTATTGCCTTGTTAGATTTATTCTTATCGCTTCTCGGCCTTTTGGCTAAGATCAAGTGTAGATTTATTCTTAAGAATTTTGTTCCTTTTAAGTTATTGTAAATGGAATTGTTTTATTAATTTTATTTTTAGATTCTTTAGTGTGTGTAGAAATATAATTGATTTTTGTATATTGATTTTATATCCTGAAACCTTGCCTTCACTCTTTAATGCTAGCAGTACTTTTGAGTAGATTTATTAAGATTTTTCCATACACAAGATCATGTCATCTGCAACTAGAGATAGTTTTACTCCTTTTCCAATAGATGCTTTTTATTTCTTAACGTTGTTTCTTACATTTTCTTACATTTTACATTTTTTACCTAGTTGCCCTGGCTGGAACCTCTAGTACAGTGTTAAATAGAAGTGGCAAATGCAGAAACCCTTGTGTTGTTCCTGACCTTATGGAAGGGCAAGGCAGTGTTTTGCCATTAAATATATTGTTAGGTATGGCCTTTTTTCTCTCTCTCTTTTTTTTTTTTTTTTTTTTTTTAATGTTTTTAGGTCTGACTTCTTCATGGGTGCTTTTTACTAGATTGAAGAAGTTCCCTTCTATTTCTAGTTTATTGAGTGTTCTCACAACTTGGTGTTGAAATTAGTTAAATGCTTTTTTTTTTAGTCAAATGCTTTTTTGTGACTAGTGGGATGATTGTGTGGTTTTTGCTTTTCATTCTGATATGGTATATTATATTGATTGATTTTTGCTTGTTAAATTAGCTTTGTATTCCTGGATAAATTTTACTTGGTCATTGTGTTTACCTCTTTTTATATGTTGTTAGATTTGATTTGCTAGTATTTTGTTGAGGACTTTTGGATCCATAGAGATATAGAGATACAGACATATTCACAGAGATATCGACATAGGTTTTTTTTTTTTTTTTACCTGTGATGTCTCTATCTGGTTCTGTTATCAGGGTAATGCTGACTTCATAAAACAAGTAGGAAATGTTCCCTCCTCTTCTGTATTTTGGGAGAGTTTTTGAAGAATCAATGTTAATTCTTCTTTAAATGTGTCGAAATGACTCCTGAAGCCATCTGGTTTTGGGCTTTTCTTTGTGGGGAGTTTTTTGATGACTAATTCAATATATTCACTTAGTTTAGGCCTATTCATGTCGTTTCCTCTTAAGTTTTGGTGGTGTGTGTCTTTCTAGGAATTTGTCCTTTTTATCTATGTTATATAATTTGTTGGGATCAGTGGTATTCCTTTATAATCCTTTATAGTCCTTTTCATTTCTTTAAAGTCATTAGTAAATATCTTTTTCATTTTTGATTCTAGTAACTTGAGCATTTTCTTCTTTTTTTAAGGATTTATTTATTTTTATACCAGAGCTGGGGTATAGGCCAGAAGTGTGGGAGAGTGAGAGGATTCACCAGAGACAGAGCAGGGAGCAGAACAGGCAGACTGATGAAGTACACTGCTGAGGGGAGCAGTGGGCAAGACAGGAGAGGTCTGCCATACCATGTGGGAGTCTCTGTGGCTGGCCAGGAATTAAACCCATGCTGCAGAGGCTGCAGACCGCTTCACAGCGCTGCTCTCAACCCACTGCGCCACCGGGGAGGCCTGCATTTTCTTCTTAATGACTGCTTAGCTGTCTCCCATAAGATTTTGTATGTTGTGTCTTCATTTTTATTCATCTCAAATTGTCTTCTAATTTTCCTTTTGCTTTTTCCCCTTATCCCTTGGTTATTTAGGAGTGTGTTGTTTAATTTCCACGTATTTAAAAAATAATAATAATTTCCACATATTTATAAGTTTCCTGACTTTCTTTGTTGCTGACTTCTAATTTCATTCCATTGTGGCTAGTGAATAACTTTGTATTATTTTTGCACTTTTAAATATATTGAGTTTCATTTTATGGGCTAACATATGGTCTTTGGAGAATATTCCATGTATCCTTGGCAAGAAAATACATTCTGTTGCTGTGTTGGGTGTTCTCTGTTTCTCTCAGGCTTAGTTTATAATGTTGTTCAAGTCTTCTGCTTCTTTATTGATTTTCAGCCTAGGTGTTCTGTCCACTATTAAAATTGTGGTGTTACTGTTTCTTTTATCCATGAATTCTCTATTTCCTTTTCATTTTTATCAGTTTTTGCTTCATGTATTATTGGCACACATTGGGACTTAGCTTCTGCAATAGGTAACTGGAGATGGGTTGAGAAATGCTGGCATCTGTCTCTCCTGGGAAGACAGCCTTTTGGGAGCTGGGGAGAGAGGGGGCCTGTGTTCTTGCCTATACCAGTTTGTCGTGAACGGGAACAGGGAGGAAGGGAGAGGTCTTTGTTTAAATACCATGGACTCGTTTTTCTTACCAAATCAGTAGATTTTCTTTTAATAACTTTTTTTTTAAAGGTTTATTCATTTATGCATACAAGAACTGGACCAGAAATGTGGGAGGGTGAGAGGATTTTCCAGAGACAGAGTGGGGAGCAGAACAGGTGAATCTACTGAAATACACTGCTGAGGGGAGCAGCTGGCGAGACAGGAGAAGACTGCTGTGCCATGTGGGTTAGTTCCCTGACTGGGGATTGAACTCATGCTGCAGTGGCTGCAGATAACGTCATAGTGCTGAGACTTAACCCCTTGCGCCACAAGGGAGGCCTTCTTTTAATAACATTTAAAAAAAATATTGCAAACTATTTCTTTAGTAAATGTTTCTTTATTTGACCTATACTCTTAGGACCATGTCCAGAGAATTTAAATGTTTTTTTGATAATTTTTACCAGATGTGTTGGTGAGTGGCTCTTTGGAACTCCTCATGCTGTAGTACTGGAAGTAGAATTCTTACCTGATATTTTATAAGATCATCATCCAGAAGGCTTTGGAGTGTGTGTATTTTAATTTGTGTGTAAATGTATCCTAATTTTATTTTATTTTCAAAAGTGAACAAAAATAATGGCCTTTATTTTAATAGAGGCTTTTTTTTTTTTTAATTGAAGTAACTGCATTTTAACATTATTGAAGTTTCAGGTGTTCATCAGTGAGAATTAGCATGTGTATCTACTACATTAAGATCACTGCTCCTTATATTAAATGAAAGTATTTTTCTGGGAAACTTGGGTACCCCTGAATGGAGTCTTGTTATCCCTAGAACTTGCTCACTCTCAAGAGAAATGCGCTCATTGATGTTTCTTCTCAGATTATGATTAATATTTTGTATCTGTATCTTAGTTTTTACTCTACTAAGTTGTGTTGTAATAAGGAACAATAAATTCATGGCCTCTTGGGCTGGGGTAGATGTCCTGGCTTGTGCATTGCTCCTGTCTGCTCAAATATGCTGAGTGGATCCTCAGAGAATATTGCCTGACAGATTGCATAGGACCCACTGGGTCTTGGGACCTTTGAGGAAGAAGGAATATGGAATATTGGTTGCTGCCTCTGCTAGAATATTCTCAATGATGAAGTACTCCTCACTGCTTCATAAGTGCCTGTTTATGGGTGCTTTTTATCAAGTGGTCAGGAAGTTCTTCCTTATTTTGAATTGAGGCTTTCATGGTCTTAATTCTGCAGCTTTTGACAAACCTCTTCATCTGACACTTTTTTTTTTCTTGTGAAAACTAATACCTACATTACCACAGTTAAAGAGTTGAACAGTGCGATCATATGCTGGCTGAAAGACAACGCACAGTTGAGCTATTTTAGTTAGCCTTATCCAGATTGCTTTCCTAAGCCTTGTGTGTGGTTTCTGGGATTAGGTGTCTTCTGAAATCTAATAAGGCAAAATTGCATCAAAAAAACAAACCAAACTCATACCTCTGCCCCAGTGTTCCAGCATTTATTTGATAGATTCTTTACTCTTTTCAGGAATATAAGACTTACAAGGAGAACTTTCTGAAGCGCTTTCAACTGACCAAGCTGCCACCT